CCGCAAGTAGAAATCAAATGGTGTTGACCTACGAGGTCAAGGAAGAAGTCCATATGCAATAATCCATTTATTCTTGCAAATGAGATAGATGTGCCTAGGAAATTATGAGCTCAGTGTAGACGACATCACATGAAATGTAAAAAAACTAGTTGCTAATAAAATTGTTCTTTATTTTAAAATTTAAAAAATGTATAGCAACATGTAAGATTTTGAAATAAATCGTAGATCACTATCTATGATTACTCTCAAATTCCTTGCTGAATCAATAATGGAAAGTTTTTTTTTAATTAATGTTTTAATTAAAATTTGATTTTAGAGAACTTCAAACATTTTAGAAACAGCATATAATATATTAATTATTCTAATTGTTAAGTTATTTTTTAATGGTTTCCAAGTAATATAATCCAAGTAATATAATCTGAAAAAGTTTCAATCTAGAAAAATTGATATTTTTCTAGCATTTTTCAATGAAAAGACAACAATATTTAAGCCTAGTTCGTCAACCCCAGTGGCATATATTTTAGGTTTCATGAATATATTAATTCGAAACAAAGGTTGATTAACAAGAAACTGTGCAAAAAACTTCTTCTTCTAAGTGTTTGAGCTAATATAATTTTTTTTAGAGTAGCCCAAATTTGTTTGGAGTTACTTAAATTGTGAATCTAGAACAGCTGATGTATTTATTTTTCTTAGTCATAAGGCTCTTTCGTGTTCTTTGAGCCTAGTTGATATTTTTCGTCCGGTTTCTCCAATGCCGCATATGCATGGAATGCTGTAAACTCCTGGCACCTCAAATGGAAATTTATTTTTGACAGACCGAAGATGTTGAGAGTTCTTTGGAAGAGTGGCAAATCTGGTTTTGACATTATACTTCTTTAGACCTATTGATATGTGGTCACGAGACACCCTGTATAATAGGTGAAAACCTTAAATACAAAAGTTTTCGCTGTGTATGCGAGAAGATGATATCTGAAATACACTTCTTTAGTTATAACTAATTTTCAATTATAGAGGAACCGATTTTTCATTTTTTTTTTAATTTGCGGCGCACCCTGTACATTTTGGAAAAATTGTCAATAATAAAGGTTTATGGAGCCAAATATTCTGCGTGTTCTCGTTAGAGAATTTTTTAATTTTTTCTATTCTATAAACGGTTTTTAATTTTCAAAAAATATTTCCTGACCCCTCAGCGCTCAGGGGGGCCCCTCAATTTTAATAGGTTCCGTCACGAAACCAAGCTTAAGTTTGATAGCTTCAAATTTCGGATACTTATCGCGTTTCATAGCAATGTGCGAAAAACGGTAGAAAAACGAAAAAAAAGATTGCTTTCGAAAAATCGTCCCTGGGCGGGGCAAGTTCGTCGCAAATAGGGCGAATCAGCTTTTTATTTTAAAAAGAAGGCGCTTCGCGGATTCTTGTTCTTGAGGGACTCATTCTTTTTCTATCATGCTCCTGCCTACCACTAAGGAACTTTCGCGAAATTGATGTAATTTGATTGTGAATACGCCCTGTATAAAGTGTGCCTCACATCTCGTCGAACTTCAATGTTACGGCAAACTTCGGTAAATATTAAAATTTGTACTGGTAATTTCAATTTAAAATTATATTTTTTCAAATATCTCACGTCCCCTGTATAATTGACGAAACCTTAAAATTTCTCTCGACACAGTTTACGATACTGTTCATATTAAATTATCAGATCTTAATTTTTTTTTTAATTTATTGCCAATAATTCACTCACAAAACCAGAAATTTCTTGGATCTATTAGAATTTTTTGCCCAGAAACGACGTACCCTGTATATAATTCCAACAATGTTCGAAATAGAGACTATAGGCCTGGATCTCCTTAGTTTCCTGGTATCCGAATTTTTCCAATGGAGTAAATAGTTTTCAAGAAACTACTTGTTTTCTGAAATCATGTAAAACGTGGTAATAGTAAATGACGTCATCGTAAATACAAAAATTATCGCCCTTGATACGGCCTATATGTTTAAACGCCTGATCTATTTTTTGTACGAATTTTGATTTACGGTTAATAATTTACTCTCTAGAAGAAGAATTTTCAGGGTCTTTTAGATTTATGTCAATAACTAAAACAGCTTGTATATAATGGAAAAAAATGCGTGAAACAAAAGTTACAGCGCCGGGCCTCCTACGTATTACGGTTGTAAAATTTTTCGGATCAGATGAATGGTTTTGGAGGGTAAGATGTTTTTCTGGAAGCCAATATAACAACAAAAAATAAAAAAATTAAAAAAAAAACTTCTCGTTATTTTATTGCTCCCAGTTTAAAGAGTCTAAATGCGGGTGCAGACTTCTACTTCTCCCTCAAGTCTGATGTCGGTAGCTGCAAATTTGGGGCACTTATTATGTTTTTTAATATTGCACGGAATTTTGCGAACACCCTATACAATACTGAGACTGCCATCTAAACCACAGATTTTAAATTATTGCCAATTTTCCATAATAGGGGGACCCATTTTCCAGTTTTTTTGAATTTGCGGCGCTCCCTGTATATTTTTGAAAAATTATTAAGAATAAAATTTTATGGAGCCGTATCCTCTGCGTCTCCTGATTAAAGAATTTTTACTGTCTTGTAAACGGTTTTTAAAAAATGGTCTTTTTCGTAGACCCCTGCACACGCGATTTTTATTTTTTTTTAATACTTCCCAACCCCCCAGCCCCCCCATTTTCAATAGGTTCCGTCACAGGGCAAACCTGCATATATGTGTCAAATATGAAGTCGATTGCTTCCAATTTCGGACACTTATCGTGTTTCATAGCAATGCTCAAAAAACAGTAGAAAATTGCGAAAAAAAGATGGATACCGGCGTCGGATCGAGGCCATTTCCTACAAGCTTGTGTACCTCGTGGATGGTTAAAAAGGAGGCAAATTTCAATTTTGTAGCAGCAACCGTTCGAAAGTTATTCAGGAAAAAAACAAAAGACGAGAACGAAGAACCGACAAACAGACAAAAAAATTTTTTTTTTCGATGGTGATCATTTCTGTACCAACGTCGATACCGTAGGACCTACCGTTACCGAGACATAAAATTTTTATACGAGCGCAGATACTTTCGAAAAAATCGATTTTATCGTCGGAAAGGACCCGCCTCCATTTGGATGGGTCCCCTATTTAATTTTTTTAAATGATGGTATTAAGTAATCTAGCTGATTCAACGACCCGGGGAGTCACTAGAAATTAAATAGGGGAATGTTAACTTTGACGGATCGAAGATGTTGAGAGATTTTTGGACAAGTACGAAATCTGGTTTTGACGTTATATTTCTTAAGAACTTTTGATATGTGGTCAGTGATGTTTTGAATTGCTATTGGAAGGTTTTGGTGAAGTGTATTTTTTGATTGAACGTTTAACATCTTTAATGTGGAAATTATTAGAGCGAAGAGCAGAGGTAAGGTGTTTTAATTCTGGGGTCAGTGACTCGGGCTGAGATAGTTTTACGACTCTGTAAACAACAAAGTCGATAATCGATAGTTCTTGGGCGGATGGTGATGTGACAACGCATTTAGGTATCGGTCTGTGTACGTAGATTTTCTGTAAACACAATGACCGAATGTTAGGTCTGATTTTCTATTGATAAGAGTATCTAAGAATGGGAGGTTATTATTAGTTTCTGATTGAATAGGGTGTATAGAGTTTAAATATCTAAGAAAATCTACTAGGGATTCTTGGCCATGTAGCTAAATAACCAAAGTATCATTGACGTAGCGTTTCCAGATGTTGGCAGATGTCTAGAGCTTTCTTCTCAAAGGCTTCTATGAATATATTCGCCATCACTGATAATGAAGAACCCATAGCTGTTCCCGACGTTTGTTCAAAAATCTGACCGTTATAAGAAAAATATGTTCCGGACAAGCATTTTTCAATTAAGGTGAGAAGGTTTGGTGCTAGATTCTCAGATTTTAATATATCTGAAATGATGTCCCTCCTACATCGAAACTAATCAGAAGATCTTGTGTATCTAATTGTTCTAGATATTTTGCTAGAGAATATGTTTTGGAGAACCAATGATGTTGGCAATAGGTCCAAGGGGTAATCCTGATTTGTGAATCTTAGGGAGTCCGTAGGGACGAATTTTAGAGTAATGGGGGGTGACAGACTTTTTCACGAAGTCTGATAGAGAAGAAGCCTTAATAATAGATTTAAGGTTGCGATCCATAGATGTCGTAGAATCTTTTTTAAGTTGACGATATTCATTTGTCTCCATGACCACGGTAGCAAGGCAAGGGTTCTTTTGAAAGAACTAATTTTTCCGGTTCCGAAAGTTGGTGCTATGATACATTTATGACAGTGTTGGGTAGTTGAGAAGAGTTTGATGATTTTTCTAGTGTTGACGTTAGTTTTTCAAATTTCTGAATGCGATTTTGGGTAGTAACTCGAATGGGGGTAAAATGGAAGAAATTTCAGGGTGTTGAGAAGATTTTTGAAGAATTTTATATTCGGATGAGGTTTTGACGTGATGGGATGTTTTAAGAGAATTGGGGATTATGGTCTCTACAACGTAACAAAAAGGTCAGTGTACAGAGTAATATTACCAGTTTCAGTAGCTGATCTTCAAACTTTCTGTATTTGTACTTGATGTCCTCTCCATAGAGGCCTGTTGATTTTTCAAAGAAACTTCCACAGGCCACTCTAATACTTTTTAGAAAACTTCTAGATTCTTCCTGCGTCGGTTTTTGCTGAGGTGAACTTGCTGACGCTTCGCCAATCATCCTGTTAATTTCTTCAGACCTTGAAGCAAAAACTAACGCAGGGGGAATCCAGAAATTTTGTAAAAAGTATTATAGTAGCCTATGGAAGTTTCTTAAAAAAAAAATATACCGTATACTTAATTTTTTTTACGTTCGTATGTTCGTTTTGGAAAATCCTACTACTGGTAAAATTGAGGAACTCTTTTGGTGAGTGTGGGAAGTTCCAGGTGCGAGCAATGTCCTCAAATAAAACAGAATCGGATGAAAATTGTTATCTAACCTTTTATTTCACACAGATTCGCATATTTTTTCAAAATCCAGCCAAACGCCGCCGCTGGGCGACGGGAAAAATTTGCCTTTGGCGTGCACTACCGGAATTGTAGTCTTGTCGTTTAACGTCACTCTGAAGTTTTTTACGATGGCGACCAGTCCGATTTTAGTCTGGAGCATTCCAAATCTTATACCTTAAACAAACGCGTCGAATACTAATCATAATATGAAGTTTACCATGTAACTTGATGAGGCCTAACAGTGTGGATCATTTTGGCGACACTAAAATACTTGGTGGTAAGACCACTCTGCTGAGAGACACAGTATCGGGGCAGCTTAAGACCTGACCCTAAGAAGAGCGGCAGAATGGAATTAAATGGAAATGAAATGCGAGATGCCCCTGGGGATCTACCTCCGCTAGGACTCCTAACACGACACTGCTCCTATCTAAGAAGTCACCTCCACCTTTATATGAGGGTGGTGTTTAAAAGTTTTTGTAGAAACCAAGGTTAAAAATTTAACAGAACAACTTTGCTGCCCTTACAAGGGCTTCCGATAGCGTGTTTAAATAGGTTTTTCAAAAACAGCACATTTACAAATACTAAAAACCAGTACGCTCACATAGGAGTAGATACCCTTCAGTGTTAGTTTTGCTCTCATCAGCTTTATAGTTCTTTTATTTCCTTTCGCTATCTTAGTTTCATACTGTCGTCGAAATAATACGAGATCTGCGATGTTAAAACAACCCTGATCGATTTTTGTTTTGGTTTAGCTTCTCGTTATGTAGTCCCCAGAATTTTCTTCAAATGACTGTTTTCATTCGGATAATCATGTGCCTCATTTGTTTCATGTTGTTCATCTTCACAATTTTCGTTATTTTAATCACCTTCTTGAATATTTTCAACAGAAAATGTGTGTTCATTTTCATTTGATGTGGTTGGTTGCTGAGACGTGTTACCAAAAGTTAGTTTAAGCAAATTTTTTAAATAGAGATGTTCCTTCATTTCAACGCCACACACTTATCAGTATAAACTGCATTACGCATAGAATTTATTGGGGGAAGTGATGTTGTAAATGTTATCGCTTAGGTTTCTTACATGTAAGTCCTTTGCTTTTACAGAACTGGTACCGCCATCTGGCGACTAACGTTTTTATAGGGAAGATTGACATTTTAAGGTTAGGTTTACTTAGTTAGGTTTTGGCGAAAGAGTTTTCTTTGTGTTTTTTGTGATAAATTAAAATAATTATGACCGTTAAAAATGGAAATTAATCCGGAGCATTTTTGTGCAATAAGTTTTTACAACTTTAGGCGTGGATTAACTCAACAACATTGGATCGATGAACTTAATCCGACTTTTGGAGTTAAAGCACCATCTAGGACTACTGTTTATCGCTGACTTCAGTAGTGGTCGTAGATTTCTTAAGGATGAATTTCGTAAAGGTCGTCCAAAATCAGTGGTTGTTCAAGGAAACCTTGATGCAGTGCGGAAATTGATTTTGCAGGATCGTCATATGACTTACCGTGAGATTGAGGTATCTTTGGACATTGGTGAGATCAGCATACGAATTATTTTGCATGAACATTGGTTGAAGGAATTGCTAAAACAATATCATGAACCTGAAAGGAAGTAGCAGTCGACTGTGTGGGTCTTTCAGAATGATACAAAGCCGACAAAAGTTGTTCGTGCGCGAAGCACCTCGAAACAAATAGTAGCCTGTTTTTTCAGGAAAACTGGCCACGTTGCAACTGTTTCTTTGATGAAAGGTAAAGGAGTCATTTCTGGATGGTACACAAAAATTTGTTTGCCGAAAGTCTTCGAAAAAATTATAAAAACCAACCGAAGAAGACGAATCACTCTCCCCGACCATAATGCTCTCACCGATCAGTGCAAACAAAGAACTTTTTGAGCATTAAAAACGTTGATTTGATGGACCATCGACCATATAGTCCTGATTTAGCACATAATGACTTCTATTTATTTCCATACGTTAAGAATAAATTACGTAGGCAACTATTTTTGACACCAGAAGAATCGATTGATGCGTTGTTTTGGAGGTGCCCGACTCGATGTAGGAACAGTGCTTTGATGAATGGTTTTATCGAACGCAAAAGTGTATTGATCATTAGGGTGAATATTTTGAGAAACAATAATGTCATATTTGTTGGTGGCTTATAGGTTTTTATTACCGTTCATTTAATTTTCCGTTGCGAAAGAGAAAAACGACTGCCTATCGTTTCTAGATGTCCTAGTAAGTAGACAGTATTTAAATTTCGAGTTAATCATTCTGATTCAACCGAACTGGGAATCACTCAGACACTCAATATGCACTCACGTAGTGCATAGCATTCCGTATGTGTGTATTATTAAAAAGATTTGCTCTTTATGAGAAACAAGAAAGAACGAGAGTATCTACCAAATATCAAAAAGACCTTTAAACGTTAGAATTGAAGAGGTTAGAAAACACACAGGGACACAGGAGGCGAATTTGTTCAATACTGTGTGGAACAAGCTTCCCAAACGTCGCCTGTATATCTGGTGACTCACCAAATCACAACATTCGCAATCAAATAGATTTCGTTGCTATTAAAAAACGATTCAGAAATTTAGTCCCATCAGTAAAAACGTATCCCGGAGCTGATGTACCCTCTGTCTATACTCTTCTAATTGCTAATATTTCATGCCGGCTGAACGAGTTAAAAGATCACACGACCCGATGATGATAAATGAAGTCATAGTAGTCACTGTACTACCAGAATTTCTAGCCTCAATAGATCAACAATGGAAATGGTTTGCCAAAATAATAAAAGATACATTGGACAGTAAATTAAAATCAGATAGGAAAGACAAGAAAAAAGTATGGATCACAGAAGGAATTGTGAATCTAATAAAAGACAGAAGACAACCGAAAGCCCGAAGAAATGAGGATGGCTACAAAAAAGATGATTCAGAAATAAGAAGGAAAATTACACTTGCGGAAACGGTATACTTCTCCAACGAATATGCAGAGATTGAAGATTACGAAAAAAGACATGATGACTTTAGCCTACTTAAAAAAGATAAAGCAATTACAGGATATGAGCATAACAGTGTGAATACAATAATATAAGAAATAAAGAGCTCTTTGAAAATTAGCGAAACTCGGATCATAGCATACAAGAAAACATAACTGGACCACCAATTACCAAAGACTAAATAGAGAGAACAATTAAATTTGCAAAAAATCCAGATGAAATCCCAACTAAGATACTAAAAATATTGGGAGAGAAAGCAATTGCATTATTATTTAAGTTGCTTAATTTAATATACGATAAAGATCTGACCATTTGAAGTTGACTTTAATCCCGATTCCTAGATCAGCAAAGCCAAGAAATTGCAATGAACACCATAAAAGCGTTTGACAGAGTGCAACACGAAAAAATGATTCTAACTCTAGAAACAACAAGAATTGCCAACTTACTGGCACCAAGAGGCAAATGTTAAATAGGAAATAATGTGACTGAAAGCGTCTCAATAAGAGGGGTAAAACAGGGTTGCATTCACCATTGCTTTTCAATTTATACTTGGAGACGATATTATAAGAAGCTTTAGAAAATATCGAGGAAGGAATAAAAATAGGTCAGGTAATAATAAACAATTAAGGATATGCAGATGATCCCGTTCTACTGTGGTAGTAGTCGTTTCATGCAACCGTTACGGTCTTAAACTTAACATCAAAAGACCAAACTAAAGTGAACCTGAAGGGGTAAACATCTGGGACAATTATTAAGTAATTAATTGGACCATTCACTGGAAATAAAATCCACATGTGAGCAAGAGAAAGGTTCATACATATGGAGAAGAACCTTGGACTGTTACAGAGACTACCTTAAAAAAGCTGGAAGTTTTTGAAATGTGGGTGTACAGTACAACGTAGAAGTCATGACCAGAATGAAGAAAAATAAAGAAATCATTTGCTAAGCTCAAGTTTAAGAGACTCTCATACTTCGGCCATGTTATCAGACATTCTGAAATATACAATATCCAGCAGTTGATCATTCAGGGCACAATTGAGGGAAGACGAGGCCCAGGGAGAAGACCTACAACCTACAGTTGTTTCAGACAACGGCAAGCAAAAGAAGAAGAAAAACACAATGAAGGGCAAAAGCAGATTGGAAAAAGCGTAAGTTTAAGGAAGCTGTATTTATTAAAAACAAAAGAAACTTCCTTAGCAATACAAGCCTTTAAATACCTACAAGCCTACACTAAGCCTCGCAGCCTCAGAATTAAAATCAGTCCAGACGTTGTGAAAATAAATAATAAGAACAATGCAAGTTCGACAGTATCTTAGTGTTTCTACTGAATCACTATCCACATTGTCCAACTTCAATGCTAAGTTTATTGAACTGTCGTTGGCCGGATTAAATTAAGTTCATCGAAAACAAACGTACCAATGCATTGACGTGGTCCGTCCCCGAAAGGCCAGAAAGCCTCATCCGAACGATTGACGTGGTTGTCATTGTCGAACCTGCTGGGGTTGTACACGTGGGGGTCCGGATAATACTCTCGATCGTCGTAATACCCGGCCACCGGTAGCCATACCAAAGTGCCTTTCTCGATGACATGTTCCGTATCGGGAACCGTGTAGGTTTTCTCGCATTTTCTGGCAAGTATCGTGGTGGTTGCGTGTTTCCTCATGCCTTCTGCGATAACCAACTGAATGAGAACCACCCTTAAAGCACATCCCACCTACCGTAAATGACGTTGTCTAGGCAGGATATATCCTGAATCGCGTCGTAGGTGATCCGACCGTCGTGGTTCCCTACGGCTTCCTCAATTTCCCTCCTCAGTCGGTCCTGGATCGATTGGTTCGAAGCCAGCTCTAGCAGGGTGAAATTGGCTACGCACGACGAGACCTCGAAGCCCGCCCCGTAGAACAGCAACGTCTGAGATATCGCGTCGTTCTCTGTGAAAATGACGTCTGCTGTGGTCATTTTGAGGAGCGTCTGCAAAAAGTCATTCCGATCGACGTCGTTCGTTCTCCTTTGCTCTATGTTGCGACGGGTCAGATCCCAGAAGAAATCGACTGCTTCCTTGTTGCTCAGCCTGAGACCCAGCCAGCTCACGACGAACGTCGGAAGTTTGGGCACCAGTATCCTCATCACGCTGTTCCAGATGCCTCTTTCGGCCATTTTCGACCCGTATCGTCTAATGTCCGAGTCCAATTGACTCATGGTGTTGGGTTCGAGTCCGAATAAGGCGCTGCCCAGCACGCTGGTGGTGAAGCGGTCGAAAATGTCTTTCATGTCTGCAGGTAGTCGAGCTGAGGCGAAGATGTCTAGTTTCTCCACCAATCCCGGCGTACAAGACAATATGGAATCGAAAATATGCTTCATTTTGCCTGAAATGATAATATATAAAGCAGTTAGTCATTTCAAACTTTGAGAACAGACATCAATTTGACTGAAATAAATTACTCAAACGCCAATAAAGAGTTGAATTCTTTAGGGGTTGATAGCGAACTTGGAATTAACGGTCATAACTTATAACAAAATTAAATCAAAACTGTAATTACCGATTCATCACTTTTTAATGACGAAAAAATACCACCTAATATTCATGAATCCTCAACCTCTAAAACTATATTCTTTAATTAACAGAGAGGATATGTCAATAGTTCTCAACAAGAGTAATGCTGCCTTTAAAATTAGATATGTTATCAAAAATTAATTACTACTAATTAATTAACTAATTAAGAAGGTTAAAGATATGAAAATTCATCCTAAGGTAATTCTAGTTGACGTAATAAACATAATAGACAATATTCTCACGCAGAGACAAGTTAACCCTATCATAAAACAAGACTTCCTAGATAGTTTGATAGTTCGTTTAGACCAAAATTATTTTGAATTTAATGGTCAATTTTATATCGCTAAAGAAGGATTAATTTTGAGAAAGCCGCTTAGTCTACTTCTTGCAGACATTTTCATGGACAATTTACAAAACATAACATAATTACATAATATAAATAACCTTTGAGAAAAGGATTTCTCTGGTATAGATGCGTAGATGATGTTTTTGCCGGTTTCAGTGGAACGAAAAGACAACTGCAGTTTTTTTTAAAATATTAACTCCATACATAACCGTATCCAATTTACCATAGAGACGGAACTAGATAACTAGATAGATAAAATTTTGAAAAAGAATTAAATATTATAAAACAAATAGCTTCTAAGAATGATTATGACCCCACTTTGATAGATAAGATGATAACTAAAAAGCAGTTTTAAATAACTCTGAACTCTATCTAAACACCGAGTTCAAAATTTATAAAACAATAAATTACAAAGGAGCAACAAACAAAAATTTCGAAACATTTATCTAAATTTGGTCTTAATATTATTGCTTTTAAAACTGAAATCACCATAGGAAAATTTTTGAAAAAAACATAAAACTAAATTTCGTACAAATTTTCTTGGACTCTCCTGATGATTTAAAATATCATAATTTTGTTGATACAGGGTGTCCAAACATTGTCTCCTCCGACATCAACTTTGTTATTTTAAATGAACACCCTGTATATATCAACTTTTCTGGAACCCTTGGTTGAAATAAAGGCCATTTTCTTAAGAAATTCCTATTCTAATTTTGCATAGTTTAGGAAGAAATTGAGGTTATGTGTTTTTTTTTTCATATTTTGATTGCCCTATATAAAATTGTGTCGTGACGCTACTGATCCAGGTATCACAACGAAAATTTAACCACATATATATACACAGCTTATACAGGGTGTCCCAAATAGGAGGTGCCGTTTTGGCGCATTCAATTAACAAAATCTCACGATTTTCAAATGGAACATCCTATATTTTTAGTCAGATATTAATTCTAGTATAAAAAATAGTGTAAGTATATAATTTATTACATATTTAAATGTTACTTACCTATTGAGATATTCGAGGTTTAAGATAATACCTGTCTAAACTCTTTTTGAATTTAAAGCTGCCCAAATTAGGTCACTTGTTGGCAATATTAGGTATTTTCTAAATAGCAAAGACATGATACTACCTTTTTTAAAGATATAATACTAATAATAGAATTGATATCTGAATAAAAATATAGGGCATTCCATTTGAAAATCTTGAGATTTTCTTCATTTAATTGCCAAAACGACAACTCCTATTTGGGACACCCTGTATATATCAATCAATCAAAATATGAAAAAAAACACATAACACAATGTATCAACAAAATTATAATGTTTTAAATCTTTTAATTTAAAATATTTTACTAGAAACAACTTTCCCATTCATTTTTTTTATTGATATTCTTAAAACCTGAAACCACTAATTTTATTTTTATAATTTCATGCTTATTTTTCTTCGTAATTTGAACGTCTAGGTTGTTTCTAGATATCGGTTAAGAGTGAGCGGCTAAAAGTATATGTGAAAACCACTGAGCGCCGCAAGTGCTGACAAACTTGGTGTGAAAGCCGGAGTCAAAGCTTTGCGAAGACGTCTCCATCTCTCTCCGGTAACATTGGCCACGTGTCCAGCATGCCGTTCGACTTTTTCGTTGCAAAAGGTGCCGCGACTGGAGAAATGCTCGAAATCTTTGATTAGGATCCGTTTCGTCAAATCTAAGTCTCGGACTACGAGTATGGGGTCGTAGAAGCTGTAGATGCCCATCAATTTAACTCCTACAACGAGAAGGCGGTCAAAGTAACAGTTTGCGAACCAATTTCGAGTCAGCAACCTTTGTTTTTCATCTCCCAGTACAATTGTCTTGCGAACTCGGCTGAGCTAGTTCGCTCCAGAAGCAAGTCTTTGATGTTTCCGAAGAACCACCCGGGCTGAAGCTGAGCTATTCCTCTCCTCGTCCAATAGGAGTGTGCCCGTTTTTCCCAGTACAATAGTGAAGTGACCAGGACTACCAAAACGCAGCAAATGACCAGCATTTTCGATGACAGCTAAAATAATCCGCATAAGGTATGACTCTGAAGTTTTTTGAAGCGTTGAATTTTGGTTCTCGTATAGCGGCAATCCTAAACCTCATTAGAGAAGTAATTCTAACAATCTAGCATGCCAAGAGTGTCTTAAAAATATATACCGGGTGACACAAAAAAGTGGAAGGGTTAATATAGGCTGAATGTCCAACTCCGGTTTGAGCGGAAACGACAGTACCTTTTTTTGCATTTTTGGATTCAGGAGAGGAGATCACATAGGATAGGATGGGTTCTCTCTTTTTTTAAAATTTTTATTTAATTTTTGAAAATTGTGTTCAGAAGATTGTGGCCATCATAAATACTTTTTTCCAGGGCACCTGACCGTGGGAAAAATTGTAAATGAAACTTTTCTTTACTTGTCTAATGGCAAATAGCATTTAATGAAATGAACTGTTAATTTTTTAGGATAACCCAGTTTTTCCATATAGCACCCTAGTGGGAACAAAAACTCTTTAAAACCCGTATTTTTTGCAACATTTTGATATCAAAATTTTCCAAATCCGTTAAAAAGCAACATCGCTTTCGAAAAATCGTCGCTGGGCGGGGCAAGTTCATAGCGCCTAACACGAAGCGGCTTTTTACTATAAAAGGAAAGAGCTTCGCGGTTTCGTGTGGTAAAGGGATGCATGCATTGATTTTCTATCGTGCTCCTGCGGATCACTATGGAATTTTCACAAAATCGATGTAATTTAATTAGGCATGCACCCTGTATAAAATGTATTTTACATCTCGTCGAACTTCTAGAAGCTAAAATTACCAAAAAAAAAATTAAAAATACTTGGTAAGATTTGATGGCACCAAATTGTATGCTTTTTAATACGTACGTCATAAACTACAAGCACTTTATACCGGAGACTCACAAGAACAAGAGAATTGATTTTTTTTATTTTGAAATCTGTCACTTTTTGGGGATAATTCAACACAATATTTTGAAAATTTGTTAAAAAATAGAACCTCATCAATGTTGCTTGAATCGATTTGCATTGATACAAAATATCACCTTCATTTCTTTTGGAACGGAAGTTTTGTATTTATTTAAATTAAGTAAGTGCGATATATATTTACTTAATAACCAACTTATTTTAAGATGAAACTTTCATAGAATGTTTTCAAAATGTCCTCCTTCTTGAATACGACACTCCCCTTCCTAACATTGCTGTAGTTATACTATCAGATGCAGCCGATATTCTAGACTGTAATTCTTGTAGGTCGAACACTGGAGTTACATAAACACATTTTTTCAAACAAAAACATCTAACGTTGTCAAGTGCGATGATCGTGGGAACTAACTGACTGGACAGTGTGTTGAGACTACTCTATTCCCATAAAAATCAAGTAGCATCTCTAAAATTGTGGGTAGACGCGCCATCCTGCTGAAAATATATATTTAATGTCACGGCAAGAGGTAAATCATCTAACGACTCTTCAAATTCATTAGGAATTGTAAATATCGTGCATCAGTTAAGGCACCATGAAAAAACAAAACAGGTTCAATAATTCGCCTTCCTATCACTCCTGTCCAAACACCGATTCCAAACCGTTCTTAAAACTGTCCGGGACGAACAATCCTTTGATAATTTAAAGACCGGTATCTGTGGTTATGTGGGTTAAACATACCATTATTTGAGAATCCTGACTCATCGGTGAACAGAATTACGTTAAAGAAATTGTTATGCTCGTCATGTTTATCTAAGAGCCAATTACAATATCGAAGTCTTCTTACAAAGTCAGCTTCATAAACATGTTGATGAAGGTTATACCTAAAAGAATGTATTTTTTTTTATTTTCCTCACAGATTGTCTTGTCTCATTCTAACCCCACAACATTGATTTTCATTTCTTCACTAATAATAATATTATCACGTCGATTATTTTATGAATTTGTCATTTTCAATTCCAGCTGTCTAAAGAAAGAATGTGCAGGAAGGCGAAGTCCCGGATAGCGGGTTGCATACAATGCACGGGCCTGTAAAAAGTTTTTTCTGCATAATCATATAAAAATGTACAAACTGTCATAATTTTCAAATATTTTGTTTTTATAAAAATGTATTTACTTATCCGATCATTTCCTTCCTGTTAGCTTATTTTTTAACGGACGTTGAAAATTTTGGTGCCAGCATGTTGCAAAAAAGTACCGGTTTTAAAAAGTTTTTGTTCCCACTAATGTGCTGTTTGAAAAAAATGAGGTAATCCTAAAAAATTTATAGTTCAATACATTAAATACTATTTGCCATTGGAAAAGAAAAGAAAAGTTTCATTTACAATTTTTCCCATGATCACTCACACAATTTTCAAAATAAAATAAAAATTTAAAAAACAAAAAACAAGCCAGAAAAACTGTCCTGTTTTATGTAGAATGATCTCCTGAATCCAAAAATGCAAAATTTACAGGTTGTACCATTTAAAATTCGAAAGTCCTTTCTGCTCAAACCGGAAGTGCAACTATTGAATGCCCTTCCAAATTTCAAATTGCTATCTTAGCCGTTTAGAAGTTATAGAGTGCTCCCACTTTATTGTGTCACCCTGTATAACTCAGAGGGTGTTTTTAATATAAGGCCTAATGTTTAAGTTTTCAAGAAAGAGCATTCGTATTTACTTTAAAAATATAAATTTTACTCAAAAGGGAAATCTTAAATCGATGGCTAATGAAACTAAAAATGTTGCTCTCTTAAACATTTTTCTCACATGATTCTTAGGCATCTTATTGCATTTAATATAAATGACCGTATACATTTTCCCCCCAAAGATAAATCGGGTGACTTGGTCGGCCATCTTAAGGAAAAGTAGTGTCAGGTTGAACACTTATAACTAGCATATAAGCAAATAAGCCTAAGGCAAATTTAAATTATAAAAATACGCCAAAGTCGCACAGTCTACTATATATTTCTATATACTGGGTGTTTTCTAACTGAAAGCCAATAATTAAGGTATTCATTTTAATAAGAATGGCTCATGAACATATGTCTTAAACGTCTGAACATTTGAGATACTGTAACTGTAATACTATTTTAGATATTTTAATAGATATTGATGGTACGCCACTGATTCCTCTGAAAATAAAAATTGTTCTTACAATCTTCAATCATTTCTAAAGAAATTTAATCAATTGATTTTTTTTAATCCGATGCAAAGTAGTTACCGAACTAGTTTCAGTCAAGCTCTGAAGAAGCCAACAGGATGATTGGCGAAACGTTAGCTAGTTCGACTCAACAAAAACCGACTCAGGAGAAAACTAGAAGTTTTATAAAAAGTATTACAGTAGCCTGTGGGAGTTTCTTCGAAAAGTTAATAACCACCTTGTATATATACCACATACACATATACAAAGGTTCTTTCCAGTATAACACACGAAATATTAAAACCAAAGTTGCCTTGCTGTTCCCGTGATTTTTTTGACATCAGAATCTTGAATTTTATTGATTCAATTTACCAAAACTCGCGAAATGAGCTTTGTGTGACTATATAACGGAATTTTTGAGGATTTGCTTCAAGTAAATGTCGATTACAAAAAATTTATTCATCGCTGTGCTTCCAGAATATAATAATAGAATAGCACATTAATACAAACCTGCTAATACAATAATATTAACCTGTTAAAATTATCATTATACACAGGTTTGGTTAGTTTTGGTTGGTTAGATTTTTTTTTCAAAACGCAAATACTATGCTTAATATTTTAAATAAAAAAATATATAAACTTGGGAAATTTCTCGAAAATAATGGAAGAATGAAAAAAAGTGAATACACAACTGAATTCTGAGAAAGCTTACTCAAATATCCTAGACAACATTTTAAGTGTTTAATCCTTTTCGTGGTAATAGTGTATTATTAATACTTCATTCCACTCTTTAAAGTTATTGGACCATATTTTGTCTAGAACCACTTAACCATTAGATATTTAAACTTTTTGCAGATTGGTTTGCCTCAATTTCCTCATTGGGATCGAACGAATGTGGTTTCAGCTAGATGTAGCTTTTCCGGGTTACCATCAAATCTTGCGCCATAATAGTAATTATAAATAAGATAAGATAAGGTATTTATGTTTTTTATGAGTTTAATTTATTAAAAATTATTTTTTATTACGATGTCAGATACTCGTAGTACGATTGTAAGGCTACCGAATACCCCTTCTGACAAGAAAGTGTTCAATCACTTTCCTATCAGAGATAAAACAAACAGCATTAAATACAAAAGATTCTATTTGTCTCAGCCTCAAAACAGTACTCGCTTAGTTAGTTTGGGCTAGAAATTTTTGTATACGTCCAGTTTTGGTTAGTTTTGAAATGGAGGATAACAATTACACTTCAGAAACTCCAGACATGTCCAGCACCATCTTGTGGCCGATTTACACAACACACCGCCGATACCTTCTCTTGCTGGGCCATCCGGTACATTTAATGCATCCCAGACAACGGACGTTTCTAATGCTCAATGCAAAATTGCAATCAATGGCCTTGAAAAAATTTCGATGTCGAATATGATGCGATAGATTCCCGAATTTTGCTGATAACGGTTTTGTATGCTATCATCGTAGAATGAAAAAAATAACGTCCTCGATATACAAAAGGGTATAAAGTTTCAGCCACTTTCGTGATTCTTGGAGAAATCATTTACATACTTGATGATCAAACAAGCTTTATGTCATAAAAAGGGTCAAAATACATCTTAGAGGAATTATAAACTATTGAGATTACATCACAAAGTACACTGTAACAAACAGTTAAACACCAAAAAATCCGAAACACTTGTAAAAATTTTGAAATAATATAACAGTATCTCGTATTGCCATTAGCATTAACTCGCGTGAAAAGGAAAACGATACCCATTACCCAATACTTGCCTCACAAATTCGATAAGCAACTATTTCACGCCACTAAACTAACGGCCTCCGAAGCTGTTTGCCAGAATGAAGGTTTTCGTTTTGACTCGCCTCTGGGAAGCACCTCCGCATTTATATAGATGAATAGTTTGCCTAGGAAGGAATGAGATGAATCCCCGGGAGCGTAGCTGATAACAGCACTTATAGTATGAAAATAGTGCGTCATATCTGCTTAGTGGGTATTAAAAAACAATAGCAGATTCAGATAAATAAAATCTGCCACGCCCGTCCAATCGTTGCAATTGTGGCCACATCTAGAAACTCACGATGCTTTCGAAAAATCTTCACTGGGTGGGGCAAGTTCGTAGTGAAGCATCTTTTTATTGTAAAAGGAAAGAACTTCGCGATTTCGTGTGGTAAAGGGACACATTGTTTTTCTATGGTGCGCATGCGGACCACCATAGAACTTTCGCAAAATCGATGTAGTTTAATTGTGCATGCACCCTGTATAAAATGTCCTTGTCATCTCGTCGAACTTCAAAGTTACAGCAAACATCGGTAAATATCAAAATTTACAGAAATAATAGCGTTGTCGAATGATATTTTTTCAAATATCTCGCGCCCTGTATAATTGAAGAAACCTGAAACTCTCTCTCGCCACAGTTTACGATACTGTTCAAATAAAATTATCACATCTTTAACGGTTTTTCATTTATCGTCAATAATTTAGCCACAAAAACGGACATTTTTAGGATATTTTAGAATTTTTGCCAATAAACGACACACCCTGTATATGATACATTCATTGTTTGGCATAGATATTATAGCCCTGGATTTTCCACGTGCCATGGTTCAAAAATTTTTTGAAAATTGTAAATGGTTTTCGAGAAAATAACTCTTTTCTGAAACCATGCAGTGGGCCGTAATAATCAATGACGTCATGGCGTCTTGACAGCCCCCGAAATACCGATTTCAATATGGATGTATATAATCGAAAAAATTCCTGAAATAAATGTTATTGCACTGGATCTTCTGCGTCTGCCGGTTAAAGAATATTGCCAATCGGATGAACGATTATGGAGGAAAACATATTTTTCTGGAAGCTAAAATAACCAAAAAAAAAAAATTAAACGTATTTAAAATATACTTGGTAATATTTGATTGCGTTCAATTTCTACAGTTTAAATGTGGACACGGACTTTTACTTCTCTGCTAAATTTGAAATTGATATCTGTAAATTTAGGACAGCTAACACATTTCTCATTTAGCATGGAATACCGGGAACACCCTGTACAATAGGTGAAAACCTTAAATACAAAAGTTTTTGCTATCCATGCGGGCTATATCGCAATATAAAAGAAAGTTTCATCTGAATCATAGTCTTTCAGTTATAACCAATTTTCAATAATAGGGACCCATTTTTCAGTTTTTTTGAATTTGCGGCGCACCCTATATATTTTTGTCTAGAGTAAAAGTTTATAGAGTTTATCTTCTGCTTCTTCTGCTTCAAGAATTTTTTTGGTCTCTTAAACAGTTTTTGAAAAATGATGTTTTTGAAGGCTCTTGCACGCGCAATTTTTTATTTTTTTAGAATAGTTCCCTACACCCCAGCCCCCCATTTTCAATAGGTTCCGTCACGGGGCAAAGCTGCATATATGTGCTAAATATGAAGCCGATTGCTTCAAATTTCGGACACTTATCGTGTTTCCTAACAAGGTCCAAAAAACAGTCGAAAATCGCGAAAAAAAGATGGATACCGGCGTCGGATCAGGGCCATTTCTTATGAGCTTATGTGCCTCGGGTTAAAAAGGAGGCGAATTTCTATTTTGTAGCTCCAACGGTTCGAAAGTTATACAGGAAAAACCAAAAGACGAGAACGGAGAACGGACAGACAAAAAAAAATTTTTTTGTAATGGAAAAAATGCTTGAAATAAAAGTTATGATCCCGGATTTCCTGCATTTTATAGTTCACAAATTTTGCCGGTCGGGTTAATAGTTTTCGAGAAAACAATTTTTGTTTTGGGATACAAAATATACTAAAAAAAATTTTCAAAAATTAAAAAAAAATACTTTGCGTGATTTGAGAAAGTCCTTTTTCGAAGGATGAAATGCGGGTGTGCGTATTGCTTGTGTTCTAATTCTATTCCAGTTATCACCACTAAGAACAGTATTATCTGCGTATTCAATAAAGAGTTTATATATGTAATGGAAATTCTAGGTCCTAAGACCGTACCTTGCGGGACTCCAATTTTTATTTTGAGCTTGTTACTTGTGAAGCCATTTACTTTCACAATCTGATACCTATCTGCTAGATAATTTTTTTACTAATTTTGAGACTATTGCTCTCATGCCATAATGATCTAAAACTTCAATATCAAATTATTTTTCCAGATCAATAAAGGAGGCCATACACTTTTTACCTAAATTTAAGTTTTTACTAATAGTAGATACCAGAGTGAACATGGCATCACCAGTACTTCGCCTCCGAGAAAACCATATTGATAGGGAGAAATTATCGATTTAGTATTTAAAAAAATGATCAATTTGTCCTTGAAACTCTCTTAAAAAATCTTAGCGAAATTACTAATCAAACTGATGCTGACCATGTCTGGATGTTAATGGTTTCGTGCTTGCCAATATGATTTAATTGGTACTCATGTCTTCGCGGAAAATAATAAAATGACGAAAAAAAGTTGCGAATGAAAGAAAGCAATAGAGAGTTGACAACCCACTATGCGAGTTGCTAAAGAAAGGATGAGATCAAAAAATAAAACATTTATCAGTATTTCATCGTTTGTCAGAGTTTGTGGGGAAACACATATAAAAAGCACATAAAAATCGAGTTTGCAAGGGTCTACAAAAAAATTCTTGAACCAGAAGACGCAAAAGATTCGGCTCCATAAACTTCTATTCTTGACATTTTTTTGCAAATGTACAGGGTGCGCCGCAAATTTAAGAAAACTGGAAAGTGGGAGCCCAAATCACTGAAAAGCATTTGAGGTTTTCACCCGTTGTACAAGGTATTCAAGATATTAAGTTCAAAAATTAGCAGGTGTCTTAAGTTTGCAACTACCGACTTCAGATTGGGCAGAAGGGTTTCTACCCTTCATATTTTGGTTGTAATAGGTTTAGATGTTGCGAGTATTATTTACTCACTGTTTTTGTTTTCGTTTAAATTTTATCAATGTATAAATGCTTCTTGCACTTAGGTCTCACTTATTGTGAGATACATGTGATGATATTGTACTTGTTGCGTTTTGTTTGGTTTCATGTAAATACTGTATGTAAATAAATAAAAATGAATAGTGTGAAGCAATATAGCCTCGTCTTAAAGCTGAAATGAAATATGTGATTTTTGCAAAGCGTCGCTTCTCATATTCAGGCGTTCAGACTTTTCTATCACGATGGCCTGTCGTATAATTCTGATCCTAAAACCAATTTCATGGCCTGTCCCTCTAGCCTGGCTGAAATCCTTCTACTGGTCTGTGCCACGTACGTCAGGCTGCAAGATCCGCATGCTATACTGTATACTCCTTGGTTTTCCAGAGTAATTTTTTGTTTTGGGTTTCTTAGCTATAATGGTATGATTAGTTTGGTAGGCCGTTGATATCTCGTGCTTCAGTAACATTCGGCCGATTTGGTCATTAACCCCCTTGATTTATGGCAGGACAGCGATCGATCTTCGTTGGGTATCGTCCTGCCGTCTCTTTTGCTGCTGCTGTTGTTTGCTGATTGCCTTGCTGATGATGCGAATTTGGTATCCGTTTTGTTGAAGACAGGCACTAATTTTCTTCAATTCGTCATCTCTGTTCTTCTCTTTTGTGAGCCTGAAGGACCGAGCAATTAATGTATTTGCCACTGCCTGAATCTATGATGGGTAGTGATGAGACTTAGCGTTCAGATATCTATTGGTGTGTATTGGTTTTCTATAGATAGTGTGTTCCAAGTGTCCTTGTGATGTGCATATCTAGGAAGGAGAAACTGCTATACTCTTCAAGTTTTATTGTGAATTGAATCCTTGGATGAATGGAGTTCAAAAGCTCCTGCTTGCCAAAAGACCATACAACAAATTCGTCATCAACGTATCTTGTCCATAGGTTTGGCTTCCGAATTGCCGTCTCTGTCGCTTGAAGAGGTTGGCAATCACAGTTGAGACAGATGAACCCTTTGCTGGTCCATCTACTTGTCGGTATATTTTCCTGTTCTTCTATAAGCAGGAGTGCTTCCTCTATTGGAATGCTCGGGTATTGGGATTTGAGATTGAAGCTTCCCATAATGTCGTCCTTGTCCATCCTGAGAGAACTTAAAATCTGAGTGAAATGTGACATAGTGAATTTTTGACATAGGAATCTGCCTTTTCCACTCTGGGCTGTGGTGCACTGGCCAGATGATTTCTCAGCTTGCATACTGCACGATTGGATGAAGGGGAACCCCGTCGTGGGATCCCTGGTGACCGGTTTGTATATTGGGTCGTTCAAAATTTCCTCCAATTTTGCACTATAATCCGATGTATTCATGACGACAGTGGCATTTTCTTTGTCTGCTGGCATCCCTTCAATCATTTTTTGGTTCCAGTTCAATGTCACCTCAATGTTACATAAAATTTAGTTATTTTGTATTTTAAAATATTTTTTGCTTCTTGTTCATTGAAAATATGCAATTCAATTTAACAATAACTTTTTGAAGAAAACCACAACATCATTACATGAAATGGTTTTCTCGTAGGGAAAGGTGAGGCACCTCAGGAATTAACCAAAAAAATTTTTTTTCGCTAATATAATTATAAATTCTGGATATTTGTACATTTTTAGCACCAGGCGGGAACTGGACCAATTAAACATTCTAAAAAAAAAGCTATTCGATATTATTGAAAGTGGAAGAGCTTTCGAAAATCTTATAAATACCAATAACAAATTTTGGAATCGATAGAAAAATAGTTACTATTCAGTAACGTTTCGTTTAATAAATAATTATTATTATTATATGTAACATTATAAATTTTAGGTAAATTTAGTTAAAGTTTGTCAAAAATAAATCGACTTGATGGTTAAAAGCCTCAAAAAATAATGAAAAGCTTATAAAATAACTACTTAATAACTAAAATTTAGTTTCCAATCCGGTCACCCTGGCAGCACTATCGGGTTTAAATAGCAGAAACTTCTAGAAACATGGTATATGAAGAAAATGTAATTATTTTTATATATATAGTGCTTATGTAAACTTGCCATATATCGTGAATCACCCTGTATAGCATTTTGTGACCATTATATTTACTTTCTACTTACCATAGACTTCATGGTATTATAATATTTTTGTTTGTTAAAAGTGTCATCTAAATCATTATTTTTTAACAGGATAACAACGGTCTAAGTCGTTCGCAATTCATATGTCAAGGCGATATCGTTATTGATTAAAATTAATCTTTCCTTTTTATGGCACGAGTAAAATCCCTATTTATTCTTTTAACTGCATCGTGGGATTACCCCTTGTCAGATATTTGATGCAATTTTTTTATCCGTTTGAATGCAACAAATTATTATGATCCATTGTTTGAAGTTGGCAAAGATTTTTCAAATAATTTTCTAGCCTTATAGACTTTTTATTTGACGTTATTGTTGAAATCATTGTATTTTTATCGGTAAATAATTTGGCTAGTTTTGGATTACCCATTACAAAAACAAATGCTCTAATAACGCCATCTGGTGTTAAAAAATATGGAAGACACTTTATGACTTTTTTATTTGTCCAAAATTTTAATTATAACTTAATACAAATAAATTTAATTTATTTAGCTAATAGTACAGTTTAAATCTATTCTTCAACCTTGAAATAAATTCAATACTTGAGTTGTCCTGGGGTTGAGTTTGTGCGATTTTTTTGTTTTATTCAATGTTTCGTTTACAATGTGTTTCTTTACCAAGAATCTAAAATACGCACAATTAATATATAAATTAAATTCTTTATATAAAAACATTTACATACCTCGGCGAGATTTTCAATGAATTAGAACGTACATAAACAAGTGCAAATATGAAATAACTGACATGAATAGTTTGACTTTGACGTCATTTGTTGTTTTATTTTTAATGCCATTATTGTTTGATTGCCGGTTTTTGATAATTATAGTCTTTTGTTAAAATTTTATTTTCTTTAAAATTAAGTTCATGGTTTTTTATATTTTCGTCTTTATGTAAACCTATGGATGCGTAAGTTTTTAGAATATGATGGGACACTCCCCATAGCGCCGTGAAATTTCGTATACATTTTTCAAAACGTCAAAATGACAGGAGGGCGCCATTTTAAGTTTTTTTTATGGTAAGAGGGGTCATGTGATACCTCTTTTTAAAGATCTTTTTACGTTCTATTCTAATCACATGAATAATTGTTGTTCCAATATTTATCAATTATAATCTTACTGGTTGTTGCCTTGATACGAAATGAGAAATTGATCCACAGATTCACATAGTTGTTAAATGCTACTTTTCCTATCAAGTTGATTGGAAGAATAGGTCCTATTGAATGGCCTTCTCGGTCGCCATTCAGTTGAAGATCTGAAAGTTCTAATTGTTTGTGGTGTAATTTCCACAAAAACTTTGCATAATATTTGGAACAAGTTCATTGACAGACCTTATTATTGTCAAAATGCACAAAATAGTTATTTTTTCATTTAAACTATGGTTTAGTAATAGAAAAGTAAGAAAACATTTGCAAGGGTAAATTTGAATGTCCCTCATAAACTTCTTATCAAATGTTTTTAAAATTGGTATGCGAATACAACTGTCATTTTGACATTTTCAGACATGGTTTCTATGTCAAAAATTAGATATGTATGCCGAATTTAACCGTGCTATATGGAATATACTGCAGAATATGTTTAAAAAGATGCACATTTTAATATAATTCAACAGCTTCACAAGAACTCATATTTATGATATTCTTAGTGCTTTCAATAATTTTAATTCTAAATTACAAATCATCATTATATTGAAAAATAATTACATTAAAATAAAATAGTAAACACGTGACCAGGATCTAGGCAAGACATCTAAACTCAAACAAATTTTAATTGAAAATCATTTAAAAGTTTATAACAGTTAACCTACATTCTCTTCTAATAAAAATAAAACTTTTGAAAAATGTTGCAATACCATATGCTTTAGGAAACATCTCTTTATTTACTTATACACTATTACACTAATATAATAACAAATTCTCTAAACAGTGCTTAACGGCTCTGGCATCGAAATTAGCTACAATTACTTATCACAGAGATTCGCTTACACTTATGTTTACATTCAAACGCCATTTACCACTTACTTGTTGCATGCTTCCCGCAATGACTGGCAGCAAATACCTGAAATGTGAGGAGAATAAGGCGTTATTGATAATATTTTTCGTTTTATCAGTGAGCTAATTTTTTTACGTCCGTATGTTATTGGAATCATTGGCATATTTTTTTTACTAATATATATAATATGATCGAACCAGTTTAATTTATCAGCAATTGTCAGGCTTTACATGCTGAACCCAATCTTTTTTTTATGATATATATTATATATAAATTTTATTTATCTGCAGTTATTTTTAGCTTATTGTGATATAGCCAACTTAAGTATTTACGGCATTGTTTAATGCTTTTTCCTCTGCGCGTGTGGAAACAAACACAGCATCGTCAAAAAAAAGTATCATTTAACTTACTTTTTACAAAACTTCTGGATTCCTACTGCGTCTGTCGAACATTTTACTCTGTACCTGCTTATATATTGTTTGAGGGGGGCGGAGCTAAATGAGTTCTCCATTAGCACCAGTCATCGCGAATATATTTATGGAAGCCTTTGAGAAGAAAGCTCTCGATACGTTCCATCTAAAACCAAAGTTATGGAAACGGTACCTCGATGATACTTTTGTTATTTGGCCCCATGGTCAAGAATCCATAGTAGAATATATACACCCTAACATACGTTTTACGATTCAGTTGAAAACTAATAATAACCTCCCATTCTTACATATAGTCTTATTATTAGGAAATCAGACCTAACATTGGGTCATTGTGTTTACAGAAAATCTACGCCTACGAGGGGGTACCCATAAAAATCCGGAATTGAATTGCCGCGCGCAGAGCTTGTATATTACACCTTTCTGCCCCTAGGTTGTGGATAGTACAACTTATTGCGAGTTCAACGCCACCTTCGTTTTAAATTTAACTTATTTTGTTCACTTGCAGTGCCATTTTTTGTTAACGCTGTTTTTTTGTTATTTCGTTTTATTCGATGGCAAGTTTAGAAGAACAACGTGCAGCTGTGAAATTTTGTTTTCTGCTCGGTTGCTGAAACTGTTTCAATGTTAAAAACAGCTTATAAAGACGATGCCATGGGAAAAACTCAAGTGTACCAGTGGTTTGTTCGCTTCAAAAATGGCGACGAGTCAATTGATGACCGACCTTGTTCTGGACGTCCATCAACTGCTCGAATCGACGAAAATATTGAAAAGATTCGAGAGTTTGTGGTCACAGACCGTCGACAGACAATTGAATAATTATCAAAGATTAGTGGGTTGTCTTGGAGCACGGTTCAGCGAATTTTAACCGAAGATTTGGGAATGAAAAGAGTTGCTGCCAAGTTTGTTCCTTGTGTTCTGACTGACATGCAAAAAGAACATCGAGTTGAAACATGTCGTGCTTTGAATCAACAGCTTGAAACGGGTCCAGATTTTCTTTCAAAGATCATTACCGGTGACGAGTCATGGTGCTATGGTTACGATCCAGAAACGAAGCAACAGTCCAGCCAATGGAAGATGTCATTGTCTCCCCGTCCAAAAAAATGTCGTTCGGTCAAATCAAACATCAAAATGATGCTGATTTGCTTTTTCGACATCAACGGCGTAGTTCATGCAGAGTTCGTTCCACCAGGTGAGACCGTTAATCAAGCTTTTTATCTGGAAGTTTTAAGAAGATTGCGCAACAGTATTCGACAAAAAAGACCCGATTTGTGGTAGCCAGGGGATTGGTTCTTTCACCACGATAATGCACATGCTCACACAGCCATTACTGTGTTCTTGACTAAAAATGGTATGATTCCTCTGCCCCATGCACCTTACTCGCCTGATCTCGCTCCGTGTGACTTCTTCTTATTTCCACGTATGAAAAGGGACATGAAAGGACAGCAATTTGACAACATTGAAGAGTTCAAGAAAAAAACGAGGGATGAGCTGTCGGCTATAGCCAAAGATGAATATAAGAAATGTATCGAACAGTGGAAGCACCGCTGTGACATATGTATTAGTTGTAATGGAGACTATTTTGATAAGGTCGTTCTGTGATTTTCAAAACAATATATAGCTTATAAAAAATGATTCCGGTTTTTTTTAGGTACCCCCTCGTACAGACCGATACTTTAATGCATGGTCACATCACCATCCAGCTCAAAAGCCACCGGTTATCAACTCTCTCATTTGCAGAGCCGTAAAACTATTTCAGCCGGAATCACTGCATCCAGAATTAAAACACCTTACCTCTGCTCTTCTCTTTAATTATTGCCACATTAAAGGTATTAAGCGTTCCATTACAAAACACACTTCACCACAATCTTCCAATAGCAATGAGGCCGAAAGCAATCCTACACTTGCCACTGTGGTCCTTCATTACATTCAAAATATCACTGACCACATATCAAAAGTTCTAGAGAAGTTTAACGTCAAAACCAGATTTAGCACTTGTCCAAAAATCTCTCAACATCTTCGGTCCGTCAAAGACAAGATTCCATTTGAGATGTCAGGAGTTTACAGCATTCAATACATTGGACGAAAAATATCAACTAGGCTCAAAGAACATGAAAGAGCCATAAGACTGAGTCAAATAAACTCATCAGCAGTTGCCGAACACAATCACGAAACCGGATATAAAATTTTATTCGATAAAACTGAAATTCTTGCTTGTAATCAATTCTTTTATCAACGACAGTATCTAGAAATCTATAAACAACCTAACAATCAACCGCGACTCTCTACCTATTAACTATAATGCTATTTAATTTTTTTTTTTTTACCAAACTTCTGGATTCCTCCCGCGTCCGTTTTTGTTGACTCGAACTAGCTAACGTTTCGCCGATCATCCTGTTGGCTTCTTCAGAGTTTGACTGGAAGTTTCTTTGAAACAAAAAACTATGTAATATTCTTCCAAATCCGAAACAGTAAATAATGTATCTAAAAACATAAAACGTATTCGAAAAGCACCGTTCGTGCTTTCAGTTGAAGTAATTACTTTCCAAATCTTTTCGGCTCTCTTGTACAAATGGACCGAATTTTAAGGTCGCATTCACCGAAACGCTTTTTACGACTGCAG